AATATCTAAGTATCAAATTTTCTACTCAACCCAAAATCTGGTTTTGTGTAACCGATGGACATCTTCATAGCTTTAAGACCCGTTTATGACAGAAAACATCAAATGGTTTCTTAACAGTACCTTGAAGGCATCCAAATCTGCATAATGACAGTGGAACTCGAAACCACTTAGTTTGGTCTGCAATTCGTCATGGCGAATATCATAGCAACTTTTAGTCTGTTCCAATGCATGGAATTGTCACAAATATATACACTGGCCATGACAACTCTTAATTGATTATGACATATCCAAGAGTCACAATATGAAACAACTTAAAATTAATTAGAGTGCATAGTAAACAGCGACAGCGTATTCATTCAAAAGATGGAGTTGAAATTAAACTAGGCATTCGATATAAGCAACTAATTTAATCTCAAGTCAACGATGCACTAAAACTGTTATATGCATTAGATTCAAAATCAGTGATGCCAATATACATACCTACACGGGTGCAGACTACATATGCAAACTGTTTTGTACATTTTTCTTAACAATAGAAACAAAAGGCAATCAGTGTTTGTGGCAGACTTTATTGAATGGTCCCGATTATTTAGATTTGTTTAACTTTGAATTGTATAAAACAAAAGAAACTAACAGGAAACCAATTCAATAGAATAAACAACTCATCAAAAGATGTTTTTCTGTTTGTACCAAAATCAAACCTTTGCAACGTTAACATTTAAATGCACAAACACAAATTAATGTATATGGCAATTAAACACAGATTAATGTATATAGCAATTAACACATATAATCCGTCTTAAGATTTTTAGAAATATGAGTGCTAAATTGCTATAAAATAAATACTGCACATAAAACAGATTTTTACAAAAGGAGAATTGAATTAGAAGAATCTTAATTGAGTCGAGGCAAGTGTTTGACACTCTGACCTTAAGACGAATTACGCCCCACACTGGTGCTTATGGTTCACTAGCGTTCGCCTCCCAGGATACAACGACTCCCCTCCTTGTGAAAGAAGCACTGCAATTCACAAGGAACTTTGAACCAAATTATGCAGGAACCTCTCTTTATGAAAACTCTAATGCTTTCTATATATGAAAGTCTGTATGTAGAGAATTAAACTGAATTTTTAAAACTGCATGAAGATTGATCTATTTATAAATGATGAAATACCCTTTCCAAAAAGGTATCCTTATCTAAAAAGGCAAACAATGCATCCCTTGATTTGAAGAGTTGTCACTCCCCATGTGAAGATGTCTTTAACCCAAGGGTCATGTCTTTAACCCAATGGATTTGATTCATTTCTATTCAAATAGGAAAATCAATATTAGTTAATATTAAATTTTCCAACACAGTTATTACTACCTTGCTTTCTGCTTATCTTTTTGTGGCTAGGGTTTAAGAGGCAGATGATGAGACTGCTATGTACACACTCATATGTATATATGTATATATAATCAGTGTCTTTGTATAGTAAATTTGTGAATAGTTATCACCGAATGCTTTTTGCAGATATTTGCAAGAGGCCTTAAGGTTCCTCTTGTTATTCAACTTACTGATGATGAGAAATGCATGTGGAAAAATCTGACCGTGGAAGAGAGCCAGAGACTCACCAGGGAGAATGCCAAAGACATTATTGCCTGTGGTTTTGACGTAACAAGAACCTTCATCTTCTCGGATTTTCATTATGTTGATGGGTAAATAACACATATATACGTTTAATTCCAATACTAATTTAATACTTCTGCATGTCGACATGTTGTTAAGTTTGTGTTTCAATTTTTTATCAATGGCCTAGAGTGTGCTATTCAAGCCTTTATTTACTTTTCTGCCCAAGTTGAAGGGGTTTGAGATTTCGGGCTTCTATGCAAGCCACTTTTTTTAATAGGAAAATCTTGTTGGCTTTAAAATCCTGAGTTTCTTAATGAATTTACGTAAAAGGGCCTCATGAATTTAAAGTTCATGTTGGATGTTCCACCAAGTGATCACCGTATGAGATGCAAACTACTTGACAAGCTTCGATGGGGAACCTTCTGTTTTTAAACTTTGATGGGAGCGTGATTCTATCATTCATGAATATTGTGTGTAAGCTTGTGTTATAACTTTTGCTGGCTGATTTTATGTTTAATTTTCTATGCAGTCCTTCTACAAGAACATGGTGAAGGTTGGAAAGTGTGTCACATATAATAAGGTAATTTACAATCTTTTCCCTATGGAGCATTATTTTCTGCACTGATTTTCCTTCCTTTTATAGATATTTTGTGTACCTCTTTATTTGACTTTCTGTAATCATCTATCCAGGTTGTTGGAATTTTTGGTTTCACCCGTGAAGATCATGTAGGAAAAGTTTTCCACCTGTGCAGGTATTTTCCTTGGCTATGCTGCTTATGATAGTGAATCATGTAATTTTTGTTTGTTGTTTCTGATTAGTTCCAAAAAAAATAGTGAAGCTAATATTTATTCTGTTTTTTATACTTTCATGAAACATCACCTCTTGTAAGTTTGATTAAGCTCATAAGTGCTTATTCTTTCCTTTGAGCTCTTATGGTTGACACTCTGCCAGTCAACTGTAACTGGCAAAGAAACAAAACATTGCTTAGTCCAAGTCTGAGCTCCATCAAAAAAAAAAATTCTTTTCTGAAATCTCCATTTTTTCTGTTTCTTTGATGTGACTCTGTAAGATAGCATATGGATGTGAGAGTATGCTGAAAACATGTTAAGGAGCTCCAATGTGGTTATGTGTTAATGCAGGCAGTTCCATCATTTCCAAGTTCCTTTACACATCTGTCGGTGGCCAAGACAATCTTCGTTGCTTAATTCCCTGCACAATTGACCAGGTATAAATGATATGAATAATTCTCAGAACATGAAATGTTAACTAATGATTGAAAGTGGTCAAGTTTTTTTAGTTTTTATAGATTTGTATGGTTTATGTGCCCTTGATAGCAGTGTACAGTAAATTTATGTTAGTATTATTGTGCAAGTTCTGTTACTACTCAGGAGAACATATATTGGTTACTTTCTGGGAGACTTTTTCCTTTTTTACATGCTATGAAATATGAGGGTTAGTGTTTTTCTTTTTCCTGGTAAAATTTGTAGGGACCCACCTCACCTTTAAACATAACACCTTTTGAGAGATTGTAGTTTTAGTAACTTTCTGTGCTCATTTGTTTTAATGTATTCTTTTTTTCTTATTTTCTTTTATTTACTAATACCATGCTATATTGGTTCTTGATTTGTCCAGGATCCTTATTTTAGAATGACACGAGATGTCGCTCTACGGATTGGATATCAGAAATCTGCATTGATTGAGTCTTCTTTCTTCCTGCCCTGCAGGTACTTTATGGTTTTTGTTTGTGCAAATAATCTCACGGGAGAATATTCGCTTCTAGATCCTTCAACCTTCGATCTTCCTTCTCTCTCTTCCTCGATTCCTGTAAAATAGATTGGAGTAAATAGACCACACCCGGGGGGTGTTGGCCAAAGGCCCTCCGATGCCTAAGTTAGTTCGAGTGTTTGTAGGAAAACAATAGCTAAGCAAAGGGTACGGAGTAGTGTTTATGTAGGGTGTGAACCGGGCGGCCGGAGCCGTGTGTGGTGGCCGGAGCCGTGTGGAGAAAATATGGAGAGTGGAGAGGGAGAAAGAGAGAGCTTCGGGTATTTTTCTCGGGTATTAGGAGTAGGTTTAGATGTACCTTAAATGATGAATGAAGTCATCTATTTATAGGAGCCTCGGGGCTAGGGTTTCGTAGAGAATATGCTGAGTTTATTCTCTACCCAAATTCGTAGGGATCGAGTCGGACTGAGATAATATCTGATTTAATGATATTATCTCTTTTTATGGAGATAATATCTTAATTAAATGATATTATCTCTTTTTATG